TATTCAGTGACTTGGCATTGTTTCCAATACGCGTCGTTATTAGTTTCATGTGGCTTCAGTAATATAGAGAGATTTTTCCTTAAATTGGAGATTCGGTGGGTACAGAAATTGTAAATATTTATACGGGCTTCGCCCTTTAGACGAATTTCTGTATATATTAGCATGTAAGGATCAGTAGCCTAACTCCATTGCTACTCGAGTTACAGGTCGATTTACAAAGTGTTAAGACCCCCTGGGAGAAAAAAGGAAATTTTAATACTTCTATTAGTCACTGAAACATCTATCAATTCTATTTGTTGCTGTCATTTGCGGGAAGAATGTCCCTGCGGAATTAATAATGATTTCCTGTGCCATTCGACGTCTGATGGTCACAGCTGTTGCTTTCAAATATTAACACGTTCATTGTTTAAACTCTAGTCATAAAAATGATTTAAAAGTTCTTGTCATATCAAACAAAATATGACCACAAATTTCAACATGTGCTCCCAAACGCAGCGTTCTAAATTTGTAATACGGGAACACTACGTGAGTCAGGTTAGAACTGTTTTGAGACAACATTCTGTTTTAGTATACAGTTTAAATTTATAATTCTGAGATATTACATGTGGCAGATTAATAACTAAAAACGTTTAAACATGTTCAGCCATAAAAACACAAGGCAGAAATCCTGCCAGAAATAAATATTCCCTTTTAATTCTATAAACAATTCATTTCCATGTTATAGGCTACAACTCTGGCATTTATTAAGGTTTTTTTTATGACGATTACAAAAACTGAGTTCGGAAACATCAGAAACTGTCTTGATTTTGTAGGCCCATTCGAATCTGAGATCTGATGTTCAAAAGGAGAGAATATGTAGACTGTCATCATCTGGGCTTAGACACCGTGTAGTCTTGTAAGTGGATACTAATTAATAGGATAAGTGTATCGGTTCCATCTTCAGGGTCTTGTCGATGATTATCAAAGATCCTGGCAAACGTTGGTAACAAAAAAATTACACGACTGCACGACGTAACAACTCAGAAGACCAAAAAATGACATCACAGAATAATAATATGTTGTAATGAAGCCAGAAATATTAATGCACAAATTACCGGGAATTTCTGCATGACCCGGTATATATGATCGGATAACGGGCAGTAATTTGTAGCGGTAAATCGGAAATGTACAGATAGAATACTGGGAAGGGGATTACAGCAACCTAACGCTGAAGCAGATTTGCATGAAAATTTGAATCAGAATTTTATTCCGCGGTTATCAATGTACGCAGAGATGATGATGATGATGATGATTTCGCCTCGGAACAAAAGTTGAAAGCGACAAGCCGTGACGCTTACCGGAAACGTCAAACAAAGTTTCACACGAGATGCTGACTCCCCTTTACTGACTGTCGACAAAGACGATTACCCCCCCTCAAAAAAAAGCTTTGTTTTGCTGTCAAGACAATGAATGTCTCTCTACTCGTGGGTCGAGAGACAGTAACGTGCAAGTCAAATGCTGCTATATGAAGAAATCCTGTTACCCCTGTCTACGTTACACAACATTAAACATGGCGGAAAATACAACGATAATTTTGCCCGTTGTATGATCGTGTAACACGGCTTCTTACTCTGGGATAACAACACTGGTTAATTACAAGTGCCTGAGTATAATGCGAAAACAAAAATATTTGGACCCAAGATGGAGGATGACGCAAGGGAAATTTACTTCTATCCACATAAGCAGATGTTTGTATCTTGGTTACTGATTACTCGCTATTAAGGAATTTTGACCATTATGGGATAACATTTATGAACGTGTGTGTTGTTATAGCCATTGCCTTGGTAACGCTATTAAGGGATTATGGGCCTTATGGGATTTATGACTACGTGATCATTCATCCGTGGCCTACTATGTGTACATAAACTTCTACACAATGCAACACAGTATTATAACCTCAATGCTATTACAATCTCAAAATAAGATCACATCTGTGATTACATTGTATTAAACCGTATTTTTTAATTAAAGAAAGGTAAATAATAGTTTCATTTTGAACACAACATCACTTAATTTTAATTTTTATACCCTGCATTGTGGAAACAACGCGCTCAAACAAAAGACTGTTTACTCATCCATGGCCTACCACGTACACAACGCGGCAAAACAGATGTTTACGTGTTAACTCTTCGTAGCTTTCGTAATGAAGCAAAGATAAGCACATATTTTAATTTGTATTTGTTTCGTTATACTTTTCAAAAGAAATGTGCTCTAAGAGAAATTTTCTAAAGCTACATAATGAAGATGTGGGATAGGTCAGTCAGTTGTGACTGACGACAGCGGTTCGATTCCAGACATGAGGAAGGTGTTTCGGAGCCCACGCCAGCTTCGGGACCCACCCAGCCACTTGCCCCATGGGTATCGGGGTTCATTCCTCAGGGGAAACGCGGTTGGGGCATGGAGCTAACCACTCACCTCCATCCAACACCAAGACCAAGAACGAACGGACTTATTCCTCCATTCTGTCATACCTCTTTCTTTCGTGATGCTATTTAAATAATCTTTGTGCTATAATTCTGCCCCTTTCATAGAAATTTTCGTCATGAACAGTCCAGTGCTGTTTTTAATGATCAACCCTTCCACTCTAATTTTTCTACAAAATAAAACTGCTCATCGTACAGAAAATCAGTACATGACGAAATATAATCTCATTAAGAAAAAGTAAGACATTTATCTGAAGTATTTCAGAGATAAAATGTTTTCCAGTATGAGTATAAAATAAGTAAGTTCCACTGAATTTGCCGTTCCAGGTGACTCGGTCACGCCACACTGCAGTCTTTTGTTCCTAAAGGTCACGCACTGTTCGAGATAATTTCTGAGAAGAAACAAACCCACGCAGAGCTTCCGTTTAGAAGTTGTATTGTACTGTCAGCTTCTGAGTGTCAGACAACAAAGCCAGGGCACAAGTTACAAGGGCAGAATGAAAATTACATAACAAGGAGATTCATAATTTGTTAAAAAGAATTACACACTAACATTAGTTTACATAACAATTTATCTCATATTACGTGCTAAATTATTTCGAAAATTTATCATCTTCAGTTTTTTTTAAGTTTTTTTTCTGATTCTAATTTACCTTATAAATGTTAACAGTAAAACAAATAGGCCTATAAACTGAATATTAATAAACCCGTTCCGATACACACCACGATGCTGCTTGCGGGGAGAGGCGGTATATATCCTGCTCATTCTTGACTTAGGAACTAGATGGAGTGAATGGTTAGCGTCACGTCTCGGCCGCGCCCTCTACCCACTGGATAGTAATTTTTTGGGGGGACTACGACCCTACTCACTTCTCTGTCCTACCTCGGCCACTTCCTGTGTTTACCTCCCTCACTGTTTGAATTCTACTTTCCTTCAACTCATTTTCTTACCCTCATTTGAGGAATTCATTGTCAGAAAGTGAACAGGAAATGATTTTAAAAAGTTTAATTCAGTAATAAAAAAACACCGAAGCCAATGAGGACGCCAAAAATTGTTAAGAACAAGTTTACCTCAAACTGGAATAGACATTTGGACCTTTTTTTAAAATGCAGTTACAACTGCAACTTTTTAAAGAACACTTTCCCACACTTTTGCAACATCAACATGGCGAAACGTGAACATATAAACACATTTGCTACTTGTTCCGATGCTAATGTTCAGGCATTTACATTTTGGTGACTGATAAAAAACGTATTTACAGAATCTGTTTGAAACTTTCTGCACGTTTACAGAACTGGCCAGGTTGTGTTTATAATTTTGAGATTCCTCTGTAGTCTACGCTAGCGGGGATCTTGTGCCAGATGGAAACATTTAAAATGAAGTTCCTCACCGAACTTTTTGCTATTCATTGTGGCTGCAAAGCTGTGAACCACAGTTTCAACATGATTTGTATAAACTCGGAACTCTGAAATGCCCGAGGGTTGCAGTGGATATTATGTGCCAAGCATGTCAGGATATTCCTGTCTGCTCCATCAAGTGCCTGTGTACTTTCTCCCCATTCAGCCTCAACAGAGAGAAGACGCAGATGTAACAAATGGCATTCTTCGCTTAACGACATTCAAAACCCCAGATACTCAATATGGCAATGTCTGCCCCAAACACAATTTTATCAAGTAACTAACTAACGTCTCATGGTACTACGTAAACTGTCCATGATTTTAACATTTAACGCATTAACTTAAACCCATAATATCTCGGTCATCAAAGTGACTGGCTTGGTGTTAGAAGGCCAAGCTTCGATTCCAAACACAGAAATAATTATTCGCTACCATGCCCAAAGTCGCCATCTAACGATCACAGAGTCCCTTTGTCCATATTTCATGAACAAAAATAAATTATTACGTCTAAGAGTCATACGACCGAATCCGACATTATTTCCGGAAGGGGGGGGGTTTACCCGATTCAAATCTTTGCCCAGAGATTTTCCACGATGACTGGGGGTTTTCGTCGTTACCACTGTCAAATACTGGGACATGATCTAAAACAGGCCACGGCAGTTTAATTTCAAGTCCTTCAAAACTCAACTACATTTCTTACTAACTGCAATAACATTCATACAGACTGTAAATTCCTACACGAAATTTCACAAAAATCCATCAGTGTCGGGCGGTTAAGACCTTCCGAAACGGTGATCTTAATTTTAATCAAGTCGGTGTCACATAATGAACAACTCACATAACACCAGTATAAATATCGACAGCAAAATTAGGCACAACGAACTTTATCCGCGCCATCTCGTTACAACTACACGGAGGCATTTTGCGTTACTATCATAGTCACAAACATCGTCGTTAATGCGGAACTGGGATGTGACGAGTCAAATGAGAATTACGTGTACGTATTTTTCGGAAAACCTTTAAACTATTTCGAACTTGTTAGACCGAATTAGAGACTGGGTAGAAACAGACTTGCTGTAAGTATCAATTGCGTTGAAAAGCTTGAGTGACGTACCAGAGAAATTTAAAACATTGTACTTACATTCGTAACAGATATGGATACATCTCTGGACACCATGATTTTTCTGAGGTCTGAAAATAAACGAAAACAAAGTTTAGTTTCACATCCTGAAACTAATTACAGTACAGATTTCAGGAAACAAAAAAAATTTAACATCTTTTGACATGTTCAATCGACTTGTATTTATAAAGCACAATTTTTAAGCCTAAATTTAACACTTCCACGATGTTTTCATTTCCAAAAAGTTTATAGAATTAGAACTATACTCAAAAGTTAAATAATTGACAGAAATTTGTTGAAGGTTTTGAAACAACGGACAAGAATGAATAGTGTATCGACAATCAGGGTGGCCATTTCGAGTCACGTAAATAATGTAACTGAAAATGCAATTTACATTGCATTCTAAGCTTAATAAAAACAACAACTACGAAACCTGAAACTAAATGGAAATAATATAAAAGTTACAAACGAAATAAAATGCTCATTGTCATTTTCTTGACAAATCGTTGCAGATCGCTCTCATGTTTATTTCAACTTTTCGACTCAAAATTATCCCAAGATCACGTAATCAAGCCATAGACATCCTGTTGCGGATCACTCTGTATAGTGTAGTACAGTGTAGTATATCTACAATGTAGTTCTCGTGATATATTATGTGCGTGATGCCCAATAGAATACACTTCAAAAAAAATGTTTCTTCTAATAATCTTTGCTGCTTTTATAATCTATCTTCCAAATACGTTGTTACTCACAAATAAAGTACAAATGAATATCAGAATCAACGTTGCATGTCATTCAACGTTACACAGCTTCTGTACCTAAAACACAGTCGTCAAATGACAAGTGTGAGCCAGGCGAACTCTTCAACCGTTCATGCCAATGTCTGATAAAACAAACATCAACTTAGTTCCTGACGTATCAATCAGGATTTCGAAAGACCAAAAAATGTCGCGGCGGGGCTGAGGGGGAGGAGAAGACGACCGAGAAAAGTATAAAGGGATGACTTCCTTGACATATGAAGCATCTTTTATTTATCTTGTTTGATGCCAGCCAGCACCTCGGCGGGCTCAAATACAACATCAAAGGAAACCAACCGTGGGTCGCGTTCTAATATCTCAACTGACAGATACATGTGAACCTCAAGTTACAGGTGATACCTCTGAAACGTCGATAAACTTCTACCAGACGCGTTGCAATAACCCACGAGGCAGTCATCTGCCTAATATTCCTATAAGGGCAACTCTGCATTCTGTGGACGACGTCCAGTGCTTTCGGATCTATTCTGCAGTAATTAAATGCGGTTAGCTTAGCGATAATACACTTGAATTGCATTTTGAAAGCCTTGGCTTCGAGCGTCGGTCAGGAAACGTTCTTAATCACCCTCAGACCTTTAAGTAAATATCGGTTTGCTACCAAGACAGGCCACAATCACTTTTTCCATTTACTATTCGCCTTCATTTCACATGTACCTCATTCAAAATTATGTAACCTTAGGAATTGAAACAATCGATAAATGAATTAATCAAGTCTCCTAGCATTATGGTCTCTCCAATTACATAAACAGGATTTGATCAAAGTGGAACCATCGAGATGAGCAGAAGACAATAGACAGCAACCGACATGGTTTGTGGCGACGTTGTCAGACACCCACTCCTTTTCTGATGACACTAGCGGCGTTTAATGTGGCAAAGGATCAGGTTAAGAGAAATTCCAGACGATAGCGCTTAAGAGGAGACAATAACACTATATTAACAGTCTTGGTAAGTAATCGCTTGTGGAATCTGGGCTCATGAATATTTGGACGTCTTCTATAGCGATGACCTGTAGTAGCACAGTCTTATCGTCTCTTGTTTGAATAAGGAATTTAGAAAAACTATTTTTTTATTTGTAGTGTTCTGTGTGACGACAGGTCCATATGAACAGGATCCTTCCATCCTTTTCTCGGACTGGGACCTGTTCATATACGTTCTTGGCAGATGATCCAGAAGTGGTTTGCCATTGCCTTCTTCTGTGTGTGAATGGAGTAATTGTTGGGATGCCACGGAGGAAAACTCCGTGTTGCCTAGACCACGGCCTTGCCCAACACAAGTTATAAATTCGGGCACCGCCGGGAATCGAACCCGAGACCCCAGGATTACAAGGCCAGCGTTCTGACCGCTAGACCACCGTCGGTCTGAGAAAACCTATACACGGTATAAATGTAGGACAACGCTTGAAATGGCCATAAGCATGTAAAAACAGAAGATAAGTTTTAATTATTCTCTCAAACTCATTTAAAATTCATAATGCATTTCTTCTGGGATGTTGTACTTTACAATCTGTTAGATACGTCATTGACCAGCATTTCAGAGAAGCTTACTGCCTCCATAATCAAGGGTACCTGTATCTTCCAGATTACAGCAATGGTACATCTCAGAAGACAACTATCATTATACTCGTCGCTGTGAGAACCTGACGTATTACATATATGCGTTTTGTTCTCTTGTGGTACGGACTGGATTACTAAATATTATTTACAAGTTTCTGAAAAGCCAGCTAAAAAAGATTAAGGAAACTCACGGATAATCTACACGTTATTATATTCAATGTACTAAAACTTATCAATAAAGCCTATGACACTCATGTTAGGGAAACCTAGAGGGCTACTATTTCCTTCTGTTTGCCGGACTGCTGGCTAGTAGTCAGTGTACATCCTGGAGGTCCTGCGACCGGTTTTCCTTCGTCTTCTAGTAAACGCTGAGATGGTGCCCAAGTTCCAAATTTCCACTGCATGCTTCTTATGCAGCCCTCCCGATTTAAATTGAACAAAATTTACCCCTTTAATGTGGAGGCCACTAAATTACAGCTTCAACATTCACTAACAAGCAAATCAAAATTCCGCCGTCCCTGTTATCAAGCTCTAACTGATTATTATGATTGTTACCAGAAGGACAACCGAGCATTGCCTGGGGTTTAAACCCTAACTTCCGCGGTCACCCATCGGAACCTAACCTAACCTGCAGACCCTAACACATAACACAAGATCTCACATTCGCACATGACGTTTCCGGTTTCAGTCAGGCACGAGGCATCAGCGTTTGTACTAGATAAGTATTCGATTGTCGATATCAAACTCACTCTTCTGCGATGTTCAACACCTTCAGCTCACCATTTATGTATTACTTTTAAAGGGGCGAATTTAATCGACAGTAAACAGGAATGTCACTTCAACAGGGCCTAAACCATCTGGTCTGTCACGGACACAAGGGACCGCAAGCATTATATTACAATGCCGCGTTACAGTTTCTGCAAAATATATATATTTGGAGGCATAAATAATATGATTTTTCTGGTAGTACACAGACTACATCGGAAAACAGAAATATCAGTTGTGCTATGATGACAAGGCCCTGGTTAGGGCCACTGGCTGGAGTCCGGCTGTCTTGACCTGGGTATTTCGTGGTTCTCCTCAGTCCTCCAATTAAAATATTCGGATATAACCATCAAACGGGCCACGACCGCGTCCGAATAAATATTTACAAACATCCTGACAGCCAACGCTCTTTAATTTTACAGCCGACAAAGTGATGTTACATACACCGTGTAATCTACGGCTCATCAATCAATACGAGTAACTCTGGTGTGTAATCCCGCCCCGTGGCCATGGCGAGCTCAATACGTCTATCTGCACCCGCGAATTCCTCTCCATCGGAAAAAGGATTACATTTAGTTCAATACATAAACGGATTTCTGCTTACATTTTTAAAGGTTTTTTTTTTTTTTTGTGGAATAAAGTACAAGCGACTCTGCATCATTAATTAGTGTTATAACCACCCCAGGAAAACCAATGCGCGCTGATCAATTAGTGAGATAAAATCCCTACAAAAAGTAAACAGAACTGTTGCTGTGAGAATAATTTGTCGGTATTATGATTATTTAAACTTTTATCGCATATTTCTAAGCCGGTATTTAAAACGCTACGTCAATATATGTTGTAATTTGTCCTGGAGTGATACTCCAGGACAAATTACCAGAAAGTAAAATGACGAATATTAAACTGTTTTCATGAAGGTTCAACTCGCATCGGAAAAGAATGAAAATGGAAAAGATGCAAAGACAATTAGGAATAAATTTATTATTCTTTATTTCTCATAAGAATTGGTCTTAAACCCTTTAAAACCTTTAATAATCAATAAATATCCGTTTTATATTTGTTAGTTTTGTGTGATATTGTAAACAGCGATTATTTCTTTAAACGATGTTAACCAGCTGATTTTTGTGACGGTGAATATTTGTGCTTTCTTTGCAGTACGGACCGAATTCGTTCTTATTCCAGCTCCCGCCGACTGTGAAGTGCGGTCAGTGATAACGCTAGGCCGCACACGGCTCGACGGACAGCAAGTCTCCTGCAGGAGTTCAGCTGGGAGGTGTTTGATCATTCACCCTACAGCCCGGACCTCGTTCCCAGTGATTTCCATCTTTTCCTACACTTCAAGAAATTCCTGTCCGGTCAGCGTCAGCGTTTTGAGAATGACAGAGAGGCGGAGATGGTTGTCACACAGTGGTTCCAATCCCAGGCGGCAGACTTCTACGACACAGGTATTCAAAAGTTGGTCCCACGGTATGACCAATGTCTCAATTCCGGTGGCGAATATGTTGAAAAATAGCTGGACACTTGCTGTATCTGTTGCAATAAATATTTCCATGAAATTGTGTTTTGTTTCTGTGAACGGCCCCAGGGAAACTTACTTTGTGGACGAGCCTCGTATTATTTAGACTTCAGCTTTAAAGCGTTAGTATTCTTTCACGCATTCTTAAACTCGCTTAATTTTTTATCAACTTCACGTTCTAACCGCCTTATTCACGGGAAGAGTTCCCCAATCTCGGATCGAATTGGTGTCTAAATGTGTCAAGGGCCGATCTAGAGGTATCTGCTAAAATAAACAACCCTACTACCTTGCTGGGTATCGAAACCTTATCGTCAAGCCTGAAGCCATGTACCCTACTGACACGGCTGTGCAGGACAGAATAAACTCGGTTCTGCAGGTAATTTATTTGCACCAAATGAGTTCCATTGCCCTCTAAGGAGGAC